TTGTTGTATATGTTGGGTATAAGTAAGGTTTTGATACTTTTTTGGGGTTCAAATATCTTTATATATAATCGATATATTTTTATACTTATACATATGTAGAGTTTACAGTCAAATATTTACATTACACTTTTAAACAGATAATATAGAATATAACAGCACTACATAAGAGTTCACAATCGAGTACTTCACTACTTATGCATAATGATTACATTTCAATTATATTATTATATTTAATCGTTCTCTCAACGAGACAATTTAACAATATTTGTTTCACTGCCGGCATGTCTCACAACTCCGTGCACGTGCCCTCTCTGATATTTACCGTCACATTTCAACTGAATCACTGCTGTTTGGTGATGATAAATTGGCAATTGATCAAAACACATTAAATTTCCCATTTACTCTAAATCTAATCAGCAGCTCATATATCTGAACGAGTTTATCTCCGTTTCATTACGCAATTGTCGTTTTCCGTTTTATCATCCGTGTATCTCAGTATTACACCTGAGCAATTATATTTCCTTTTCCTTTTTCCTATCCCATAATCCTCTACTTTTCGTTTTTATTTATTTATAATGACAATCGCTATATGTTTCTTTTTCAAATAATCACAATATCCTTAACTTCATGCGGATTTTTAACTTGTTCCCAAATCCAGCTTATTCCCAAATCCAGTCTCAATGTATAACATTGTTGATGTTAAAAAAGAAAATGTTTTAATCACATGTCCTAGCTTACCTTTTACTTATTTATTTTGTAAACCAGGAATAGTGTTGGGGTTAGGGATATCTACACTACAATCTGTTGACATGACCTCCTCTCGGAACATCTCGGTGGTTGGTCTATCCATCTTCTTACCTATAATTAGTTCCGGAACTCTACAAAGGTATCCAGGTATTATAAGTACAGGTAAGTTCAGATAGGTGTAAGAAAATGTTCCTTCAAACTCGGACCTAAGCCGCAGTGAACAAACAGCGTCATTAAAAAATATATATAAAACAAGTCAGTAAAATGTTGAACAGTAGCTGTTTTACATCCAGTAAAAAGCATCAGAGGAATGGTTTACGTGATACAAAGCAACAAGTAACAGTAATTGGTGTCTGTAATGTTTA